ACATAGCAACAAATTACGATCACTTAGTGATGAACAGCAACTTACGAACGTTATGGAACAAATGAGTGCGTAAATACATGGATGAGAAAATCGAGAAGAAATTTGGGATATAAGTTGTATTCAAGTTTGAGGTCTAAACAGGAATGGAGCAACATTTCACACAATGTATCAGGTGTATTTCTTTCAGAACACCACCAGCACTCAAATTCTTCTTAAGATGACACTTTAGAACTAAAACCTACAGCGAAACATTCCTAGGTACCATAAATTTCCCTGCAGAGGAGGAGTTTAACTGTTTAAACAGAAAACCAACCATAAAATCGCAGTCAGCGAAACTTTGTAGAGCGATGGATAAATCAACAACGAGTGTTCGAACTTGGAAATATGAGCGTCTGCGAAAGGGTAGGGAGATCTGGGGCACTTAGTTTTAACCGCGTTTCGTTCTCATTTAGCGGTGACATAAAGACGTCTCAGACGCGCAGAGAGAAGGAATGACGGATTGGCCGACAGTCCTGGTACCACATAAAGCCACGCTGAAGCCATTCGCGAGGTCCGCTCGCTTCACAGCAGGAGGCATTTGCTTCATTCAGTTCACTTCAATCAAAAATTTGGATTTCGATACGATACATCTTTCCCATGGTTGAATTCTAGCCGTTGATGATGTAAAAGGCAAGACTGTTATACAGTGTTCGTATCATATTTCGATACAGTTTTCCTTTTGCTGGATTCCAAAGGCTAATAGTGACGCTAGTTTTTACCACTTCATCATATCATCGTGGATTTCAACGAAACAACAAATTCATGAATCATCATAATCAGAATTCATGATATCACTTTCCGTTTCATCAATCACTTTACCCTTAATCCCCGCTAGCTCAACCGCTTTGATCTCTATAGCACATCCAAATCCGATTCTAGCCCAAAATCTTTCGTTGGTTTTTTCGAGAATGAACGTTTCCTAGTAGGATCATTTCATTCAGATGTTTATCCTTACTTTTACGATCTACTAGATCTTCTCCAGTGTTTCGTTTCCTCATTTCTAATACTCCTAGGTTAAGAATTCAAAAGAGGTTTTCATTATCACCCCAAAAGTATGGTAAAGAGTTAATATTCACACAACGATCGACAAACGTTAGCGGTCACTCCACTGATACCTCTCAAAGCCTGATGTACCCGTACTTAGTAACATGTGTAAAAACATATTGGTCCACAAACTTTGGTAGAAGCTGAAAAATCTTCTTATCTTGTTTATCTTCCATTGCTTCATCAACTGTTTTCTTTCCTGTATCAACAACTTAATTTTCGCAGGCGTTGAAATTTCATAGAAAAGTAATACTTCATTACGTGACCAGTTCTCACACGTTTATTATTTGTAGCATTCAAAAGATATCTGTAGTTCTTGAGAAGATTTCTCACAGGTCTCCCACTGGTCGTCGACTGACTCGGTCAAGCGGCAACAAAATCTCCCTTTGTACTTCTTGTGCGTCAGAGTTGCGTACTACATGAGGTCTTCTCGCCAAGGAGACTCGAATAGAGTGTCATTTTTTTTCTTCGACCTTTGAGAAGAAATCTGACCGTCACGTCGATGGTCTTCCTTGTGTGGAACTGGCTTCCTGTAGGAGTTAATACCTAATTGGCTAAACCCTCTGGTCATATGGACATTAGTCGGATCTTCCCTCTTATAACTCTGAGGTAGACCATTCCGTTTCTTTCTTGATAGCGCCTTTGATTACACTGACTGGTCTCACATCCAGCTCACGTAACGGACAGGTATCCCATACGTGCATTATGGCAAGGAGTACCGCAAAGCCAAAGAAGTGGAAGCGCCCACTTCGCCCTCTTCGCCCTTTTCATTTCGCCCTCGGCGGCCTTCTAAGCTCTCCAACCTTTTCATATCTCCTTGGTTCCTGCTTAGATGCATGAAACAAATACATTTTTATGAACTGTTTATAGCTGATATTTGAGTGCTGTCTGAACGATAGAACAGCACATATGGACATGAGAAATAGGAGTCACGAGAGGCGATAGCTGCTGAAGAAATGGATAGACTATTTTTTATTTGCCTCTCAATGGGAACTGTTGAACTACCAACGCTGAGGGTTATTGGAATAGCTGCTCCATTTTCGGAATCACCTTTTTGGTATTTAAAGCAGTGATACGTTAGAGATTTGAAAAACGAAGGTGGCACACCCTCATTTGGTGACAAGGTAACTTATGATAGACGAAATAAAGTGTTCAAGAGTAATTCACTCACTTATCTTGTTAATATGTGGTGCAAAGAAAGTATACAAAATGGGCAAAGAAGTTTTTGTCAACGAATCTTCGGCATCATTTTGAGAGAGAGCAGCTAATAGATGTCACACGAAAGACACAAGCAGAGAGTAAAATTGTTAAGACTGTCACAAGATTAGGCTAAACATTCAACATAGCGTACGCTGTTAAAGACGACTCCGGAACAGGAAGGCTGAGTCGATGTGACGAGTCTCATGAACGATCTCATCAATCAACAAAAACATCACCTGCTACCTGACTGGCTTGCCGAGGCTGCTATTATATGTAAACTGTGCGTAAGAAGTGTACAGTGAAGAGAAGCACCTTAGTGCCTTAGATGGTATTTCTGCGCATTTTTTCATTCGAAAGATGTACTTACTGTCACATAGTAGAGAGCGGATAAGGCAGTGGCAGTGACGCCGTTCGTTGAGACCGAGACGCCGACTTGAGCACGCTCAGGCTCCACCAAACCTTCCATCCTTGCGGACTAGAAAAATTGGTACCAGATTTGCATGCGATCACATAGCTCCCTGCAATCCTCAAAAGCTGGCGTCTACCTATGATGAATATTTGGAAGCGCACCAACATGGATTTCCAGGAAATTCAAGGGAAATTGATTGCATAAACATTGAATGACATTTGATAAAATCCGCAAGTAGTTGGTGTAACTGTCAAAACCAGACAAAAATCCGAAGATCCTCATAGAAGATGGATGCGAGGAAACGAACCGAATAAAAGAATTGCTAGGGTCAGCACAATGCGTGATGTCAGTTCGTGCGTAGTAAAAGAATAAAAGAAGAAAATTTTACATAGTTGCTTCATTTTCGCGAAACCACGTTTAACATAGATAAATCTACTTATATTGTGGTCTCCTATGTTGACAGGTTTTCCTGATTTCACATTTCATTTGCGAGTTGAGCATGTCGTTGAACAGAATAAGTTGTTGAGAACTTGAATGTCTTAGTGAAGAATCGAGTTTTTGACAAAGAATATCTTATCTTTTTTATTTACTGCCTGCTACAATTTTCACGGCAGGGCACTATCCGAAATTAACGGCGATAGTGCTGAGATATTTGCAAAACTCCTGAAGGAAGGTGTCTGCGGTGGGAATCCAACACGCTGTTATCCTTGTCGGGACCTAACGCCTTCACCACCACACCATGAGTGTCCTCCGCTTCACCTTTCTCTCAGCTAGTTTTCTATCGACCGGTCCCATCAGCAATCACCCGTCGACGGGATTGATCCGGGGAGCACAAATCGGCATTGAACCCAGTTAAGCTGAGGCTGCAGTCAAAATCACAACGTTGTTTTCATTTACTGCTTACTGCAATTTTCACGGCATGGTATTATGCGAAATAATCCATAACGATGCTGAGATATTTGCAAAACTCCGGACGGCGGGTGTCTGCGGTAAAGATCGAACATGCTGTTACCACGGGAAAGGGTAGTAGCGTCTTCGATCCCCACCACAGACAACCTTATCTGTTTGAAGGCGACGTAAGATCTGATTGAAAAGAGGACTATGCAGTACAGAAATATTAGCATGAAGGAATGTACTGAAGACATCGTTTGACACCTTAGCGAGATTGTAGATTCGTTAGATTTCGTTATTGTCATTTTCATCTGCACGTTATACTGAGATTTTCAGAAAATTTTAAAGATTCTGTTGTCCAAACGTCTTTAGTCCTCATATTTTCGCAAGGCTGACGATATCTAATTGACATCTTCCATCAGTTCACTGTCAATTCCCAAGCCACAGTCCATATTTCTGACAAAGAACGCAGGTTTTTTTTACGGCGTTATTAGGATATGGGACCCAATGGCTAACGGTTCTATGAACTCCACACTCTGCCTACTCCATCAAACATTGCCTTTAACCTCAACGAGAAGTTCAAAGTCATGTATATGGCATTCCTCCATACAACTCATTTCTGTTTAAGTACTTGCCGGATAAAACCGGAGCGGTCTATATGCTGCAGCTTCTAATCGCCATATTACTGGCGCTTTAATCTCAAAACCATGAAATTGCCTTTTGTTAAGAATTGCGATGTTAACAATAGAAAATATATAGGCGAACTGCTTGTATGTTAACACAACCTTTGACACAAGGGATACTTGTGTACTTGGTTGGCCCGTCTTCACTGGTTTTGCGGACGCCGGCATAATCTCCATTTTTTCGGAGTTTTGCTGGTCTAGCCATTGTGTTTCTCTGCAGTCCCGCGTCAGCGTGGCTAAAGTCTGTCCCAGGCCGTCACCACCACAGACAGTCGCTGCTCTTGTGGATCAGAGGGAGATTTTCCACCATGTAATTTGACACCAAGACGGTGGTGGATCCTGGCATTGGTATACTTTTAGCTAGGTTTCCTGATAGAAACGCCGGACTCCTCAGCTTGGGAGACCTTGCCAGGAGGATGAATACCCTCACTATACATAGCAGTCCGACACCCAGGAACACCTCCAATCCACGATAAGGGAGTAAACCGTTGGAAAGTTTGATATAATGATGTTCCCCAATATGTCACCCACATATGCAACTACCACACTTCCCTTGGACGAATATTTATTTGAGATTATACAGCCAAAAAAACTGACACAAGTGAAAGAAGGTAGTTCGATAGCAAAATAATAGGCCTAAAAAGAGCTGACAACAAGGTCATAATAAAAGGTCTAAAAAGAAAACATTTCATGAAATACATTTTAAGAAAGGTCTCCATCCAGAAAGGTTCAATTCACGTCTCCATAAGGTTAGAGTTCAGGTTATTCAAATAGATATCCATGAACGCAACAACGAATGCCTCCAGATGAATGATAGGTTTCTGACCTCTTCTCAGTCTGTGCTCATAAAGTGCGGCCACTTGTACAGTCTCTAATTGTGCAGACTGTGGACATCGCTTCAGCAGCTCACGAAGCAAATACTAAATCATAACATTACTACCATATCATATTGTTAATTACAGTAAATTCGATGTTACTTCACTTACACTGAATATAACATTTGGCTGAATACAACGAGAAATGAGTTCGTACAACCGCTCCCGTACCTGAAAATGAGGAACAACCGTATTGTATTAGCTTGTTTCGGTTGCCCAAAATTCATGAAAACATTTAGTAGAAGCGACAACACCTACCGCAAGAACCGCTTCGTTATTCTGCTTTTTTAACATCAAATCTGCTGTCTCACGAAGGTAAATCTCCCATTCTGGCTCAGGAACCTATATAGCAGCATAAATAGCAAAAATAAACTAGACAAAAATTAAATCCTCCTAATTTCACCTGTTCATTATCTTTAATTGGCTGTCCTTTTCGCTTCACTGCTTCCATTGAAAGCAAAGCACGCCGTAGGTTACCACGCGCTTTTGTTATAATCTAAATATCCGCTTGTTTCGCAGGATCCTTTAACACATTGGCGATCGTATAATAATTGTGACTCATAGGTGTTTGGATGCCTTAATGACTTCAGCGATTTGCCTAGTTGCCGTAAAAGTAGAGCAACAAAGAGATTGTTAAAGGTAAGATATAAAGACGTCTCTACAGATCATAAAACCTCACATCTAAGAACATCTGCTCGCTACTAAAAGATAGCATGTGATTCGGAAACCATTCACAGATGTACTCACAATACTTGAAAGGTTTACGCGTTCACAGATAACATTCATCAATGCATACAATAAATCCCCGAAAATTATAGCCTTTATAGTGCATACACTTTACAATTGTAAAATTTTCTGTTTTACTGAAACAACAGGAATAGGAACGTTTCTTAGATAGGGTCCAGTAGAGACTTGGTTGCACTGTACCAGTTCTGGAGTAGTGATGACATACATAGAAAATCCCTACTAAAGTCAACAGAACGTCTCCGCTTCTTAACGATGACTAGGGTGCAATTTAAAGACAAATTAACCACACTTCAACCTAGAAATTATCCATTGAAATTTTCTGCACATTGTCTTAGTAGGTACTCCATTCGTTCATCAAACATACTTGAGGGCCTAGGTGAAGAAAAAAAACTGTAAACACCTAAATTGTTAAAAAAGGAAAAATTATTTAACAAAAGACAATATTCTCCCAAAGGTTTGCCGATTCAACGCGGCCGGAAGGTCTTCGGGGTCCGACTGCCACGTAGAGAATGGGAGCTTCTCCCCTCAGCACAGTCTCCGCAGATGAACAGCCCGACGTTTCCATCCGGACGCCCAGCTAAGAGCGAATTAATACCAGGAATCACCGCATTCATGGCACCCAAACCGTCACAAAGTCTCCCTATGAACCACACGAGCAGACGAGTGCCTGTGGTGGTGACGACCTGGATCAGACTTTGGTTGGGCTGACCTCGGCGCTCCAGGTAACCATAATGGCTCAACTGGTAAAACTCCAGCCTCAATGCCTCGCACAGTGGGTGCTCTCGTATAAGACGACGAGAGGTGAGAAAGCCGCTTAGAGATTACCAAATCTCGGTTTGTACAGGACATTATTAGAAAAGGACAAGATGAGCGCGCACACTACACGCCATGGAGAGTGCTTGTTGCCCTGCACCCTTAATGCCAAAACAGTCTCTTCAAATGGCGACCACCGCTTCCTGATGCCGTTGATTGTATCAAATTCCATGTGATCGCCTTAAAAAAGACGAAAAGCATGAAAACCGACATACACCAATTAGGCGATGGAATCCTCGTCACTTTTGGAGGCAAGTTTCCGTTACGAAATGCCGGAGGTTTTAGCTTCGTCGCACACACACCTATTTCCCATCTAATCACCCCTTATGAAATATTATCACTGTGCTTGGCCATTCCTCGCTTCAATCTCCGCGTTAAAAGAAAGCCAGCATCATGAACTGCTACTCATCAACTTGTATAGCCGACGAAAGCTAATTGGACACCTCAATGCCAGATTAGGGACGGCCAACGAAGATGAATACAGGGTAAGAAAATTAGGAATAGGAGAACGAAACGGGAATAGGAACCGTATTGTAGGACTCCTGTCAAAAGCACTTCTCTTTCACGGGAATTCATTTTTCGAGTGAAGAGAAAATCGCTAGTGAACAAGGGAGTTCCCCAAGGACACAACTCATGCGGAGGGCGATCAAATTTTCAAGAGCAGAAAACGGTGCCTCTTTGACACCACAGTAATATCTGGACCCTACACAAGATCTCAACTGCCTTCTCTGCGCAAAGATTCGAGTCAACCACAAGCTGGAAGTTTTTTTATCGTCCAAGAAAATAAAACAAGTCGTGTGTGACGAGGACATTCTCAATAAAATCATCTTCTCGTATGACTGAGTGATAAAGAAAAACCCGACCAAGAACTACAAGATGCTTGTCGAAGAATTCAAAACTCGTGCTGTGCTCGCCCCAGTACCTTAAACAAGACGTTCAAACCGCATCTCCATTACCACTAAGGCGTTGGAAATTCTATCCACTAGCTATTTGCACTATCTACCTATGCCACCTATCCTCAGTAAAACAAGTAAACCTCCTTACAAAACATATGGAATCTGATATTTCTGTGGCCCATGGATTATCCACATGTAAAACTCATCATCAAGTTCCTTGTTAAGTTGTGATCACTTCGTTTTAACTTCTATCTAGTGCCTATTCTTTCTTCATGGAAGGGTACTATGTGGAATACAACCACAGGGATGCTGAAAGATGGGAAAAACTCGGAACCATGGGGCTAGATTGGTGTTGTTGATAGCACGTGAGCCCCTTGTAAGGGTAATCGTGGGATCCAAGCCCACCTGAGGTTCTGAGTTTTACTCACATCTCTGCGTCCTTGTGGTTGAAGATTGCTTCCTTTTTAAATCTTTTTCAACAACGCCACACATTATGAACAAAGATGGATCATCGGATGTCTGATGAAGGCGAAGACGTCGAAACTTTAGCCGAATAAAAATGATTTATCAACGTCGTGTAAGCTCAACAATTCAAAACATGTGAAGATAGAAGTATCACTACATTCTGCCATAATATAGAATTGGTAACGAAGAAGTTCTATTTAAAAATCTTTTGCTATCCAAAACCTCCTCTTCGGAAATCGAAATCCTTGCTGGTGAAAAATCGCCCAGGATTCTACCCTCTGAATTAAGAGTTGCGACAGAAAGCGTGTAGAGAGGTAGAGCTGCAGTACTCGATAATTAATATCCCTACCGATTTCCTTAGAGCTGGATGCCACAAATTAAATGTACTTTCCGAAACCTAAACGACATCTTATCTTTAGAAAGACAAAATCCAACATCAATGGACATCGCCCATGGTCATTCCACCCAAGAAGCACGACCAAAGGGCTCTGCGCAACTACTGCGCAATACGCTTGCTTAACGTACTTTACAGGCTGCTCACCAACATTACCCTTTTGACCATGTCGAAAATCTTTTATGAGGTACAATCAGTCGAACAAGCAGGATTCTGGCAGGGGTTCTGCTACATTGACCGCATATAAACCGTGTCACCTATCATCGAATTCTGTCGCGAGTACCATCTGCCTCTTCTAACCTTTATCGACTAGGGAAAAGCTCTTAACCGCGTGTTGCTGAAACGAATGCAATCCTATCAGCCTTCGTCGGCCAAGGAGTACACTCACCCTATACCCGAACACTAGCTAGCTGCTGTCGGAAGTGCAGCACTAAAATACAGCTTTTCCATTGACTCCATATCATATCCGCACGAAAAGGAGTTCGACAAAGCTACAGCATATCACTGTAGTTGTTTACTTCCGCGCTAAAGTGGAAAATGAAATCACCTGAAATTGGAAGAGAAAGGCATATGTATGTATGGGAAATTATTACCAATCTTCGTTTTCCGTACAAATATCGCTATCTTCTCAAGAAATACCAACGAAGCAGTGACGATGGTAAATGGACTCAACAAAACGGAAAAAATTGGCCTGCGCATGAATAGAACGACAGGTGAACAACTCAAAGTGGATGGTTCTCTGATTACAGAAACCGCCTCGCTCGTGTACGGTGAATGTTCAACGAACGTGGACAACAACATGAATGAGGAATTAGACAGAATGTGAGCAGCATGCGCCGCATTTGAACATCTCAAAGCCTCCGATCAACTAACGGACACAAAACTCCGCGCCCACCTTTCTGATTCGACAGTCCTCCACACGCACTGTTATGTAGCAGAGACATGGGCTGATACTTCAACCACGTCAAGAACTCCGCCCACGACTCACAGAGCACTTGAAGGATCTCTTACGAAATTTAAGTGACACCCACAAGGTCTAGCCGCAAGACAAAGCTTCGATCCCCGAAATCTATCTCAACTTCAAGACCCCGACGAACACACATCGATAACGAAACATAGATGGACCGGTCACATAATGAGAAGAACATATGACAGATAGACGAAAGGAACAGTGGAGTGGATTCGAAAGGAATTCAGGCATCCTCCTAGACGACGATATGAGCGAACTGCTTCGTGACTAATGTCAACCATTCTCACTCTGCATTCTCAGATGAGAACGATTTCGAGACTTCCGAATGGGCCTCGTGAATATCGCCATGTTCGGATCAGACCAGTACCATGGACGACTCAAGCGTGGGAGATAAACGAACAGATATGGTGCTGGGCCCGCACTATCATGACAGGCCATCTAAGCGCCCAAAAAGGTAGGTATCCAAGAAACTGCAAATTTTGGTGAACCTTTAAATGGTTTTCTCTAGCTTCTACCAAATCATAAGTTTGAGGATTTCTTCCATTCTTCCTGGACATGTTAAGCAAATGACTTTCTCTATGTGAAGCTCATAGTTAACAAGACTCTAGTCTACCAATTATCGATGCATACATGCCTCCCTTCATCCAAAAAGGCAACCATAAGCCTCACCGCTACCGCACCACAAACATTTCCAGCTCTAGAGGGGTACTCGTAATCCCGAAATATACCTGACATACATTGTGAAACCGACTATCAAAGGACAACATCTTGACTAAGTGTTGAATTTAGAGAAGTTTCTAGATAGCATAAGATGGAAACACACCAAAAAGAAGAGAAAATATCTCCAACACACAGGATGCTTATGACTTAAAGAAAAAATATCGGAATTCCCAAGTTTCTCTTAACCACGGAATTGATTGATAATTCGATGTTTTCTTCAATAAACATACGACACGAGGTTGTTATTACAGAATTTATTAAGTTACAACAGCTGACGTTTCGGCGGTTTCGCCTTCTTCATAGCCATTTACTTTTGTATTTAAGTTAGTTGGTGGACAGTCCTCGCCCACGTATTACTCTGTGCGGCTGCTATCCACCAACTAACTTAAATACAAAAAAATAAACGGCTAAGAAAAAGGCGAAACCGCCGAAACGTCAGTTATTGTATCCTAATAAATTCTGTAATAACCTTGTGTCTGCTTATTAAAGAAAAACATCGAATATCGGAATCACCAGCAAAATGCATAGATAAACTGGACTAGAGGCGGACTATAAGACAAACGGCGTAGTCTCTCTCGGTATGAACACAGCCTGCAGTATGAGTCACACACTACTCACAATGGGTGCAGTAAAATATTAGGTATAGTCCAATCCAAAAGTGAAAGAAAAATTACGGTCCACAAATGTGTTGATCTCAAAGTTTAATCAGGAGTAGTGCACACCTGAGCCATCACGGAATCCGGTACTGTCAGCCTAACCTTATCGGCTACCGTTAAGCACACTTCACGTACCTAAAATAGCAACGGCGACTTTCTTCGGGATTGCTTCGATCAACTCTTACTGATCATCAACCATACAATTCCTCCCCAAATTCAACATGCATTCAACTCTTGGTCACGAAATGCTAATTTCGAGCACTGCTACTAAGTGCATTTGCTTGCGAACTTAGTCAAACAAGAAAAGCATTCTTGTTGGGAACCAAGTTGTGCTATCTCAAGCAAAATATTTCTAATTAAACTCAAATATGCAACTCACTTCATCATCACTGGGGGCAGCAACTCTGACGGCCATGCACCTTGACTTTAATGGATCTATTATCCGACTGAGAGATTCACAGCAAAGAATCAGACGACAGCTCATCGAATATTTCTCCATTGTCCGACGAAGACCATGCTGAGCGTCACGTGTGAGGTAATCTGCCTCCATAAGTACCACCACTGGAATCTTCTAACGGTAACAATGCAAGATTTGATTCAGACGAGGAATCACTACATCTTAATGCTCTTCGTAAATGAAACTCCACAGTTATCATTATGAATGCATAAATGTTTAACATGAGTGTCATTCAACTCCCAAACATAAGATTCCACAAGTAAAAAAAAACCTTTGAATTAGAAACAGCTTAACGGTAGATTAGAACGCTCCCACAACGGAAACACTTGGGACAAGTGGAATAAAGGATAAAAACGATAAAACTCTCGGCGTTGATCAATTCCTGAGGGATTCATGCATTCGACCTCACTAGGCATAGTTAGAGGTGCCTGAATACGTATCCGGCTTTTACAATAACTCGCTGTGACCTAGCGATGTACCAAAGCAGTACTGCTATCCTTCTAGTCAATTCCAGTACCAATTTACCGACCCTGTAGAGATGAAAGGCTTGATGAGACTGCAGCGCGGGGATCAATCCTATGTATACTACAGAGCGCCTCCGACCACTGCGCCACACGCGCCCCTGAAATAATTCTGTTCACAAGCACAAACAACGATGTTGTTTCTAGATTTCCACCGTCTCGTCAAGGCTTTCTCAAGAAGCTTTTCATTTTTCCACCAAAAAACTATCAAAAAATTGCTACCCTCAGCTTCTTTGCTGACGTCAACGATGATGATCTTATAACAGGGGACGCAAAATGCGATCATGGTCTAAATCTTACTGAAGATTCGGATGCACTCATATGGTGCGCCTCGATTACATACATCTTCAGTGCTGCACTCGTATGTCGAGGGCTTTACAAACAAATATACCATAAAATGGTATTTCATAGCGGATCGCAGCACCTCCCTCATTCGGTTCGTTGTACTACAATCGTAATCTACGGTGTTTCTACTTGCATGTTTCGGTTCCAGCTTGAGGATTTCTCTCGGTGAATTTCGCAGAATGATGGTCGAATTAGGCTTCCCTAAAGTCCTGGAACCACAGGCAGTTTACGGCCTCTGGTGACACGAAGGAGTATTTCCCAAACTTCGCAAGCATGAGAAGCCTGGTTTGCAAAGAGCATGGTGAACCAGTAGTACAGAGCATGAATTGCAGGACATCACTAAAAAAAATACACTTTCTGTGCCTTTAATAGACAATATGGCGATGTTAACTTCTTGCTATTTGGTATTTATGCTAACATTTAAAGTTGAACAACGGCTTCTTGAGAAATGGTAACTTTTACAGTTGCTGCTTATTTTCCGACAAGCAATGTATGTAATATCTTGACAATGTATTGATAACTTAATAAACTTATAGACGATACTTTGGTCTCTTGCTCAACGGGAAAAACGGCTTCTCAGAAATGAAGTTTCATTTTGAAAGTTACTTAGAATTCACACCTTCAAGAAATTCAGAAAGAAACTCCGATTTTTAAAAATTCAGATCTAGATTTAACGGCTATAAACATCGACGGTGCATCAGAGGACACAATGGCGCCTTATTGAAGGAAATCCCGCTTTTCTAATTATTTTACTGCTTGGAATATAATGAGATAAGTCTGTTCGCAGTCTGTTTGTTACGCCGTTCTCCAGTAGTCACTCCACTGATTCACCACCATCACAGGAATCTGTAGTCATCGACGACTTCAAGTCAGAAGGTAGCAAATCTCCCTTCTATCCAGCTCGTAAAAAATCATATTCCAGTCTCGCTGTCCCAGGGAACCACGTAAAATCGCACTCGACCAGCGTTCAATATGCTGATAACAGCCATTACATAGCCTGAGATACAGTCAAAGCCGCATACGATCTCGACCACCTCCCAATGGCTACTGAATGTCCATGAAATCCATGAAACGAATGGAAATGGAAACTGGCTCTCCGTAATAATCGAAGACGGATAACCTAAGTCCTCTCTGGGATGTATTAGTGGAAATAAATTCACATCGAACTCCTGGTGTTCAGCCTGAAAAACATAGAATAACGCAGACTACAAAGAAGCGTCATGGGTATAGGAATCTCCAAGTGTTTCGATTCAACATGAAATTATCTAGGATTCTCAAGATGCCGTATGTCCTTCTGACATCACTCCTGAACCCATTTTAACAAATGACACATGATTTGTGAAGATGGATTATGTTCAGTGCTTGTCTCGTTTTCAACCGATCACAGGCTACCCTGTTGATTTTATTCCAACGTAAAGTCTTTGGTTTAGCACATTTGGGTGACTAAGTAACAGATACAGTATAAAGGACAAAAACTAGTACCATGAACTAGATAAACGATAGCAAGATATCAGAGATTTCCTAGTAAAGTTTCACCTTTGAAGGGGTATATTGGTGTAGATCATAGTTCATGACAAAGTTAAATAGACATTAAACGATTACCTTTGAAATTCTTTTGTGTAGAGCTAGCAATCTGAGCCGTCTCAGCCATTTGTTTAATTACTTCTTGAACAACGAAACGGTCATAGATACCGACTTCTCTAAAATAGGTTGAAACGGATCCCAACGATGCAAACAATAGATAAGAAATAACCATAATAATGCTGACATATTAGCAAAAGTTGGACCCTAGGCCAGATTGAACCATGATTACCCTTTTCGGGAGCTCATGTGTTACACATTGCACCACTAGGTGGAAAACTAGGTTACAGAAAGGCAAAACAAGGGCTTCAGTGGTGCAGCGTGTTGTGCGCAAGCGCTTGGAAACGATAATCGTAGTTCGACCTGGCCTGGGGTCCACGTTTTGCGAATACCTCAACATCAGTGTGGTTGTATTTCAGATTCATATCCTGCTGTGAAAATTATAATAGACAGCAAATAAGGTTAACATTGTGATTTCGATAAGAAATAAATGATGCTTCAACAGTAGGAAATACTGCGAGCGGTGTAGTTAACTGCATCACACCATAACTATGAAAGGAATTAACATCATATTGCTAGAATACATTCCTTACACAACAAAATCGGGAACAAAGCTCCAGGATAGAAGCATCGTTAATATATTTGACTCCAATTGATAGAAAAAGTACTTACGCAGGGTTCATTTCGATATGATAATTGCTGCTAACTGTATCTATTTCAATCTTCCTATTAGAAGGTGTGACAAGCAACTTTTTATCCAGGCGAAGACGTTCAGCTCCAACACCATACAGTTCCCTGAAAGATCTCTGTAGTTACAAGAAAGAGATACCTAGAAATTCAAGAAACTGAATTCTTGATGAAACAATCCACTCGAAATTCTTAACCTTGACTGAAAAAATATTCCGGTCCTGAAAAATTTGACTCTCTTGCGGCTGATGTTCAAAACAACACAGGTTGTACAGTTCCCGAGTTAAAGATAGATTGAATTCCCTAGTAAACCAATAAACGACAAGATATGAAAACTCACCTTAAAATGCAGTGAATTCTGGTACGTTTACCAGCACCGGATGGTCCATAAAAGAGGAGATGGGGAAAATCGTTAGTTTTCACCAACTCAGATAAATCACAAGCCTGAAAACACCAAGCACCTATGGTAAAAAAAAACGGCAGAAGATAAGACTTGAAAACAAACTTGTTCCAGATGATAGGAGAGCTCACTCAATCTCTTGGGGCGATACCTGTCCACCCAGAGAGACATAGCTTAATCATGTTTTAAGAGATGACACACTTTATGAATCCTACCGTCTTCACAATATAAGAAAAAACTATTATAGGCAACATCGACTGGAAAGCAAAGAACAATTTATCATAACACAGCATTTCTGCAAACAGTAAGAACATTACAATGAAAGCTAAAGAATGAAGCTCTGGCGTTGACCAATAAGCATCGTTTGGAAGTGATCGAATGCATATCTGGCTTTTACAATGACTCGCGGTGGCCTATCGATGCATCGAGTCAGTGCTGCTGTCGTATCAGACAATTCTGGTACCAATCTGCCAAACTCGGAGGAACGGAAGGCTTTGTGAGTCTGGGTTGCAGGATATAACTAATGTGTATTGCAGGGCACCTCTCACCACTGCGCTAGGCGCACTCTTTGAACATGATAATGGAATACAGATTATGAATAAGATTAAATAAACAGCATTTTAAGGAGTAACTGGCTGAAATATTCACATGAAGACTGTAAACAACAAAAAACAGATGCTGAAGATAAAAAATAATATATACACTACAACAATGCATTCAATAGAAAGCCATTTGCTGAGTGGCACATATCATTGCGCACCTGCTTTATCGAATACTTCACAACGTCGACTAGCATGTTGAGTTTTATAGTACTTGAACGACACCCTTTGCCGTCAACCTCAACATCGCTCTCGACGCGTACATTATGCGTATTCGCCCACATGAGACAAGCCAAGAAACACCGACTGGTTTCATAGCTTCTTCGTCCCATCAACAACTGAAAAACACAGGATCTTTCAACATAATGGAAATAAGGAATTTAAAAGTTGAAAGTTGCCATTACTACCTTATTAAGGGTTTCCACCTCCACAACCACGTGAAACATATCAACTAATTCGCCACCGTGCTCAAAAGTATCGAATTCTTTCCACACTTCTTCCCTTCACAATTTAGATAACATGGCATTCTCCTATTCTTGAACACGCTGAAAAAGTTCTTAAGTTCTTCAATGGTAACCCAAAACCTAAACTAATTTTAAGACGAAATTCTCCCTGAAGAAAACAGTCCTGCAAGATGTTTTCTGTTCTTTTTATAAAACAGTTTAATAACACTTTATGAAAGAAAACGAATAAATTTGAAATAACTTTGTTTCTACGAACCTCAACATATGTTGGCGCAAAACTTTTAGTAGGGTACAACCCTCTGCGCGATTACCATCGACTGGATTGGCTTTTCCAACAGCAAACAAATTTAGACAAAATCCTTTTCGGAAGGTTGTACGACTCGTAAGAGGACCATATTTGGAATGAAAAATAACCCTGATACATACAAAAGCCACCATAAAAGTAATAAACAGCGTGTCGCACGAGACACTCCAAATACAAAATGAACTTCTTACAGCGGTTGCATATTTATTGAGTTGTTTAGGTCACCGCCATCAATGTCCCCGAACATCAAAGTCTCAATGGAGGTTCTACGATGCTATAAAAAAGTACAGCGGGGAGATCCGTGCCTCGCCAGGGTCTACCAAGTTGAGGAGTCCGGCGCTTCCGTCAGGAAACCTAGGTAAGAGTAAACCAACACCAGGATCCACCATCGTCTTGGTATCAATGTGGCATGGTGGTAAATCTCTCTCTGATCCACAAGGGCTGCGACTGCATGTCGTGGTGACGACCTGGGGCAGACTTTGGCCAGGCTGTCCTCGGGATTCCAGGGAACCACAATAACCTAACCAGCAAATCTCCCAAAAATGGTAATTATGCTGAGGCCCGCACAACTAGTGAGGACTAGCCGTTCAAGTATCAAGTAAGTAAGAACCGAGGATTTAGCTGACCTATGCGCAGTTTGAAGAGGGATTCCACACTGCACGGTCTTACTGGACAGTAATCAACCAAATCGCACGGATCCATGGGGCCCTCGTTTTCACTGACGAGTCGTTCGCCATTTTCATCTGCAAAAGCATCACAATACTGACCCACCTTCGCTTAACCTCGGTATATATGATTAATGTACCTTCTCTCATTGACCAGCTAACACGAGGTTGTTACAGATCATATTCCGAAACCGACCCTCCCTGAACCCCGGTATCACTAATCAATATGTATTCTTTCTTTGATGAGCTTACACGAGGTTGATAATGATGTTTATTTTCGGCTAACGTTTCGATGTCTTCGTCTTCCCCAGAGCCGATGATCCGAGTCGATGGACCTCGCTTGTTATTCGTCTCGACGTGGCAGCTTCGCCTTTGTGTCGAGTCAGGTCTTCTTCAGTGAGCCATCTCCTCGAATGAGGCATCCTTACTCAGTGATGCCCTTTTATACACGAGGAGGAGGATACTTTTAACAAGCGAGGACCATCGACTCGGATCATCGACTCTGAGGAAGACGAAGACATCGAAACGTTAGCCGAAAAAAAACATCATTATCAACCTCGTGTAAGCTCATCAAAGAAAGAATACATGTTACAGATCATTTATTCGGCTAACGTTTCGACGTCTTTGTCTTCCTCAGAGCCGATGATCCGAGTCGATAGCCCACACTCGCCCGTCTTCTTACCTCATTCGAGCTGTGGTCCACTAAAGAAGATTTAACTCGATACGATGGCGAAGACACCACACGGGATCACAATAAACTCCAAAAAAAAGCATAACTGCACAGAAGAACGAAAGCGAAGTAGTTAGTGACGATGTCGATCAGGAAGCAAAGGCGCTAGTTTGACACTCTTACTTAATGATCTCCTGCAATCCAGCTGAGAACGCCTTAGCTCGGCGACATCCCCAAGATTGCAAGGCGAATCGACTCGAACATCATTCTACGGATTCATGAAGGAGAGGAAATCCACAACAGCAGTAGAAGTAGCACGCGGAATGTTCGAAGAGCCTTGTGGAGGATGAAACCGAGGAAAACTAACCGAATGCAAGAGGTGCTGGGATTCCCACAGTGGATGTGATGACCGGTTATGTGTATGCAAAAGAAAAAAGTATACAAGATAAGAAATCACACTGAAGTAAGGTGGAAGTGGCAAACACCACAGAAGAATCGAAAAAGGTAGTCCACACACTATGAATTATTTATCTGAGCAAACAGTTCAAATATCCAAGCATTACGAACTAACAATGACAGGCTATAATCGTTGGCCTAGTAAGTGCTTAAGACTTCAAGTAGTCGATTCCTTTTTCGGAACAGACAACCCAACTAGCCTCGCACTTTCTTCAATTGACCGTTCCCCTCCATGATACCGTGTCTCCAATTCCACCAACTTTCGTGCACTGAAAGCAGGACAGAAAACGAAAAGCATTCATAGAGTCTATAAGCATTATAGACTCTACCTTGACAAGTATGTCGCGTAGAGACCAGCCAAATGCCTAGTCTCTTCAGGGGCTTTCGAATAAGTGCGCTCGGCTATACTGTCTCTCACTTGGCTTACCAAGTACTTGAAAAGTGCACGATTCCTATCGAAACCCTAAATGCATGGACAAAATGCCGTAACCAAAATAGAACCAATAATCACCACATGGTGCTTAATGTGACAAGAGGCCAATAGTAAGAGCAGGGTAGTCGCACCTTATCGATTTTTCGAAGTTCCCTCACAATACGCCTGAAACTGTTCAACACAGACTTCTCTGCTGCTGGTATCATAACTCTAAAAAGAGTAAAAATAGTCAAAAATGGAGTTTAGCACATATTCGCCACATGCACATAACCCGATGCGTCCTTACAACAAAACCAAACTACAAAACTGCTTTTAGTAAATTAAATAGTATTACACATTCCATCATGAACAAAAAGGGAATAACAGACGAACAATCAAGAAAAAAGTCCGAAAACGAGGACCTGAGAACAGAAACGACATTCGCGCCAAAATTCTTTTGAATCACGGGAAGCGTCAGGGGAACACAATCCTTTTCTACCGTAAGCTGTGTTGAGAAAGATTACTAGTACAGCTTCCAGATGTACTCATCAGAATGCAGATTTATTTCCTTTATTGATAGGTGCTAATAACGAGACCAATCGACTTGCTTATCTGGTTTGAGTATCGTGCCACATTTGCGACGAGTGGTGAACAAGCCAGTAGTTTCACTGTCTCCCAAGACCTATGGTAGCAACGGAACGTGGTACATATTGAGCTAAGACAAAAACTCGAGTGCTTGTTCAGCTTAGTGTGGGTTAGGTGTTATCCTCTGGCAAAAAATTGAAGCTTGTGTTGTTAACTATTGCTATACAAAGGTCGGCGTCAATATATAAGCGAAGAAGAGACGGATTTATTATGTTGTCATCTTAATGTTTAACGTTTTGTTTTCTGCGTTCTACACTTTTCACGGCAGGGTTACTAAGCGAAATACAACCACAACGTTGCTGAGATATTTGCAAAACTCTGGACCTCAGGTGTCTATGGTGGGGAACGAACGCGCTATTGTCCTTTCCGGGGAGTAACGCGTTCACCACCACACCATGCGGGTCCTTCGTTTCGCCTGTCTCTCAGCTATTTCTATCGATCTTTTTGCCACAGCAATCACCCGTCAGCGAGGTTGATCTGGGGAGCGCAAATCGGCATAGAACCCAGTTAAGCTATGGCTGTAGTTGAAATCACAATGTTTAACGTTTTGTTTTCTGCCTTCTATAATTTTCAGAAATAGCTGAGAGACAAGCAAAACGAAGGACCCGCATGGTGTGGTGGTGAACGCGTTACTCCCCGGAAAGGACAATAGCGCGTTCGTTCCCCACCATAGACACCTGCGGTCCAGAGTTTTGCAAATATCTCAGCAACGTTGTGGTTGTCATCTTATTTATATGGACCGTCATTGATTGCAGAGGCCAACGGTAAATATGAAAATCGAATATTTCGTTCATGCAGGATGACTGAAGGCCATGAAATATACTGAAAGAAGAGACAAACATGACAGAAGTGAGGAGCTGAGTTCCAGTGATCAGTCATTTGCTAGAGATATTCAGGTGCGTGATGAAGAAGAGTGGAACACTTTACTCTTCACTTAAGGTGATCCATCCTTCACATACACAGTCGAAATCCCACCACTTCTTGCAGTCGATCCACCTCTTCGCTTCTACCATCCACGAAAGTCTTCCAATTTTTTGCCTTTGGGAGCGCTTATACTACTTCAATTTTCAGTGAAGGAACGTAACACGATGTGTAAAAATTGGTAGAAGATAGTTCTAGGCAAAGGGTCCTAGGAATTTCTTCGGCAGCTGTTTCGAATCCAACTTTGAATTACCTAAAGCTGTTGTAATGTAATGAATTGTTTGTCTACTTCTGTAGTAATCGACGGAACTGTGAAATTTATCTGTAAAGTCCACTATATAACCTTCTGAATGATCAACTAAGTTTCTGTCGAAATTGAAATTTCATGACAGCAATGAGATGTAAAAACATGGCTATGAAAAATGTGCATTTAGCGAGGAAATCGCTCTATTTAGTATAATTATTGGTGCTTTAATTGCTGTCCGTGGGCACGTATGGCGCAATGGTCGGAGGCGCCCTGCAACACATACGAGATCGATCCCCGCGCCCGTGGCCCGCCAAGCCTTCCACCGCTCTGGGGTCGCAAATTGGTACCAGACTTGTCTGGGAGGGTAGCAGCACTGGCTCGAAACATCGGTAGGGTACCGCGAGAAGGCCGGACGTGATTTAAATCACCTCCAATGATACTCAATGAAGTCGAATGCATGGCCCATCCCTCAAGGACTGATCAACGTCAAGAGCTTCATCATTTTATTTATCCTTTTTCTAGTACTTTTTCATAGTCTCCTTTCGAAATTATTTCCATAGACACTATTCTCCACAAAATAAAGAATGTTGTCTATCAATGCTCAGTCAGATTCACGCGAACGTTTTGTACATGCTCTCGCACAACTTCCACAACTTCCACAAAACGTGTCTGTACAAGCTTGTCCCATGTACTTGTTCCGCAGTTAGTTGGAAAGGGCTCCGTAGTCGCTGCTTAAGAACTGTACGCCTTTCTCCGACACTTTGCCCAGTAGATGAGCAGCTGTTAGCTGCATGTACTTTCCCACATCTGCCGTGACACGACCAAATTAGCATTCTGTAAAACTACACTTCTCTGTGTTTCTTTGCATGTGAACAACTGTGTTTATTCAAACGTCAGCTAAAGTTTACTCATGCTTCATTACAGTGCCATTTGTCTTCGGGCGACGACTAGAGTCCGCCAGCACCCTTCTATAATACAACACTTCGTTATTCCACTGGACCCTATCTGCTCATCTGTTTTTCGATTTGCGTAGACTAGAACAGTGTTAGCTATGTCAAGGTTAACTGCTTTCAAATGAACGATAAATCACATTCAACTGCAAAATTACTGTTTAGAACGGGATAGCTACGTTTGCCTAACGGGATAGCTACGCTTGCCTTCCTCCTCCGTCAACCCTCCGTATTGACATCGTTAAGAAGCATGTGCATGCCGATCCTCGATGGCTGAGGAAAATATCATCGTTGATACTCCTACATTAGCTCGTTACTTCACGCTATTTATTGAGATACCCAGTCGGCCGGAACAATATGCTATCCTTATGAAGCATATGATGACATTGGAAACTATGGCATCATCTGTTTCCTGCCTTTAGTTCGTAGTTTATCCACTTATATCATTTCTAAAATGTAGGGCATTACTTCCTATGAAGCATAATCAGTGAAGGAACACAGAGTGGGTTTAGAATGAGTTAAACACTATAATCGACATTCATATAATCACAGTCCTTACTGATGACAAGAGTAGATTTCCAGTTTGATTAGCAGTTATCGATCGAAAAAGTCTTCAAGCTACTGGAATCTGGTGTCGAGAGATTTAATAATTATGGGGTTCTCATCGAACATGGAGACTTCGTGGGTTATGCATAAAAATTGTAGCTATGATCTCGTGATAATAAAAAAAAGCAATGTTCTCCGAACCTGATAAGGTTGTGCAGAGTAATGGGACGCGAGTCGGATCGACGCAGCTTTGGGCAAGTCGAAGACGTCTAGACGTTAGGCGAATAGATTTTTCTACACCAACTTCACGTCACCTGAATAATCCGAGGAAGTAATAGGACTTCATTGATTAAATGGAAGCATCACCGCTGCCCCATGAATGGATGGAAAAGTCCTTGCATTAGAAACATTGGAGAGCATAATCCACTCATTCGGCCGAAATCTTCTTAACAGCTTAAAAGCCACATCCACATACTTTCAAACCATCTCTAGACAGGAATGGCAGTTCTCCGTTCCGATATCTATACTGCCAGTCAAGTATCGTTCAGCACTCGTTCTTAATATAACTAAAGCCGAAATCTAAATAAATCCGTTCTTCATCATCGCACAGGTTTGCGAGCAATCAGGGTAAAGAAGGCAGTTCAGCACGATGACATGTATTCACACGATAACGATATCTCTCATGAAGCCGCGATAATACAACACGCAGCTATATCTTAGCTCCATCACGTTAGAAGAAACCCATCATCTCCCTTCGAACGGCAATGTTCATGATTGTTCATGGATGTCCATCGAACCCTTGGACAATCATCCTATGCAGTACACAAAGAACTGCTACGAACATCTTCAGAACAAGGATTTCGTTACCTCATAATGTCATCAATGACATCACTTGACGAGTTCGATAAAGCGATACTATATCGTCAAAGTTACTTAGCGATTAAGTCAAACAACTACACCATCTTCCCTTTGTTTATGTCGACAAGTTATAACCAGACCACACTGAATTCTAGTCTCTTTCGACACCGCGTGTGGAAAAGACTGATTACAGCTGGATCTGAAAAATACGACGTTCATAGATGAGTCCCTATGGCACGTTTCATGTCGAAAGAACGAGCTACTCCAAAATACTCTATGCTTTCTAGATTTGGGAATTAAACTTGAGAATAAAAACGCCCAGCTGCCTGTCCAAATCATCGACTGCAATGTTCCTGCTGCCCTAAGATGAAAGAAAATCAGGCGCTAGTCAGATCCATCGATGAGCGGAGTCCATTGAACAATACCACTGACAAGCGATAAAAAAGGAAAGAGCGCTGAATGTTTCTTTTTTGAAACATTAAATTAGCATAAGGAGAACAGGTAGAACGTGTTAACATTTCAAATCCATAACATCTGATCTCTTCCACATGTTATTCTATTGTGCTACTTCAGACAACCTTTCAAATACTTTGTGTTGAAGTCCATCTCCTCTTCATGCTGAGCAGATGATAGGACAGTTTTCGATGTACTTACGGCAGAGCAATGGCAGAAGACCGAGTATAGTCTTTAATTCTAGATTTGAACAAAGTGGCAAGGCTTGATGACAGCCGCCGTACCATTGCTAACTCACCCATTTGTGCGTAATATTTCGCGGACAATCTAGGGAACTTAAAGTCAAACAGAAGACCCCACTAGGCATGAATTGGCACAAAAACACATTGGAGGAGCTTTTGATTATCCTCGTACAAGTTTCGAATAACTTCCGAAAATCCAAAAGTGAGCCACAGGGAGGAGTCTCTTGCTATCATTTGTAGCCTCACTACATAGCTCACAATTTTTTTAAGTGAGTCAGGCATATTTCTCACCCATTTAGGACTCTATGAGGCTGGTCTCCACCAAACAACTGGAAAACTTATGAAGAACAAAAACGGTGGGTGTTTAGAAGAAGCTGTTTATTATGCCAATGAGAATTTGTGTATTAAGTTTTGTCTGCTGAAGTTATGAAAGTGTTTCAATGAGTGGACTTGTAGCCAATTTGACTTTTCAGGATCTGAGAAAAGCGAAACCGCTCAAACGTCAGCTATTGTGAATGATAGGAAAACAGCGCAGATTTATTAAATAAGTCTGCTTTCGGCCGGGCTTCCCGAGGCAAGTGTAAAGCTCCTTGGATTAAGTGAATTGAACTTGAAATGAACTTCCTATTTTACATAGAAATTAAGATCAGAGACAACTCCCCCTCACATTTAAACCAGTGCGGGATTGGCTTTTTTTCAGAAGGCGCTGAGCATGTTGTGAGCACGACTCTCTCAAGCGGTGGCCCTGCGACTTTCAAGAAACACTACACTTGAAAAGCCGAGAAAAGCTGATCTCAAACAGAATCCGATAGAAGAAATAAATTAGGTCTTCCTTCATTGTCAACCCACTTTTGTTTCAAACCATTTAGTCCATATTTATTCCATTATTTTTCAACTATTTCCATTTCTCAAGGTTATTACTCAGTTTGTCGCTTGGAAGTCTTTTCGTTCGAATTTAGTTTGTCATTGATTGCTTGCTGTATATTTCTGTAATGCCGAAATATCCAAGTGAAATCCTAACCTACTCATTTGCTTCACACTAACTACTAGAATCATCTCCATGGAAAGATTTCAATGAAGCGGTGTGTTACTCTCGGATGGCTGTCACTCGCCATACTTTGCCTGTGGTATGGAAAAATCTAGCGATCGATTCATTAGGAGACATGGCTAGAAATCTATATTACAAATCGCGAAGCATGTACACCAAATAAAATGATCACTTCGAGCCAAGAAACTTGTAGCAAACGATATGGCGACATGGAACTTCGTGTCGGTCTGCCAGAACGTCGCGCTTAAACCTGCAACATCTCAGTAAGAAGAATGAACAACTAACCGAACCATGCGAAACTTATGCACCTAAGCCTTTTAAGATAAACGATCTCCTTCTCAAACGGAGAACTTATGGTATTGGTAAGAAGGTTGTGTAGTCAGTAAGAGAAAATTACTAAATCAGCAGCTTCCTTTAAGAAATGCACCGGTTAATCGTGTGAAAAAATTAAAGGTATGAACCACTCTAATGGATAAAGCATTCATGTTCTAGATATTGACGAGACCAAAAGGAAGCGCATACATCGAGAAAAACCACCGATTTAGCGAACACGGTGTATATCAGAGGTGCCAAGTTTACACATGACCCTATTCGGAATAGATGTTTATGGAAGCTTACATAGTTCAACAATTCAATGGGTAGGCGCATGTCTCTACACAGGACTGACAATGACCTTCATATTCAGCACAAAGCTCATCACTCTAGTGCGAATTCTTCTGCCATGATGCTAAAGTTGCAAGTGCTTCAGTGTCCTAAAGCGGGTCGGAATCGTGTGTGTGGCAAGGCATGATTTTAGCTCATAACATTTGCTGATCATGCAAAACGACGCTCTCACACGTTTTCATTGAAATTTGTGGTGAACAGTTTAATATGGCTTAAATTAACAAGGGTAAAATCTATTGAATGGTGAGCAACTGATCTCCACTCACTTTGACAAGCATGCTATTGCGTCACTCTGGTTAAGGAACAGAAAATAATTTGCCAAAGGTAAGTTTTCAAACTAGTGGATGGCATGAAATTATCGTACCTTTCCAGTCTGCCCATGGTGGAAAGTATGTGATTCTACTCCACCGTGACCGTAACCTCGAGGTCCGAACAAAGCGCCATAGCATCGATTACAGTATGGTTTTCCGTCACGCTAAAATATGACTCTATTAACCACAACGTTTTACGCAGGTAAACCAGAAGTGTCCAGTGGACGTGAAAAAGTCAGAAGAGCGAGGTCGTAGGATTCAGGCGCTTTCATCCCGTTTAAAACGACTGCTTTTAGGCAACAACTCAAAACTGCAAACTTCCGACTTGTCCTCGTAACATTTATGATCTCAACTACCGTGCTCTCTCAAAACGACCTCACTAACACCCACGTATATTTGTAAAACTTTGAGATAACGAATATTTTACTGCTCTTACAGTATTTCGAAGGCCTATTATAACAATCCTCACATCGGAAGACGATACAAGGAATGAATGGGTTCACTAAACGAAGGCACTCAGTGCCCAACAACGTTTGTCGCGCACTGATCGAAGACGTTGTTGTTGTGCAAGTGTAGCTCTTCGAAGGTAGTTCATGAGGTCCGATTACAAACGCTCAGTTCATTGAATTCCAGATGCCAAACAACCGAACATTTGTTGATATGTGGAGCATTTTTTTCCCTTTATGAAAACTCATCGAGTCACTAAGGCATAGATAGCAACGCGACAAATTTGATTTGGAATCGTGGTGAATGGAAACATTGGTGGCACTTGGGAAAATCACTTGGTGATTGATGGAAACGAAAAAGACACGTCTGCTTCGTAAACCAGTTATACTGGATCGATGTTGAACCACGATGAACTATCTACTCGAAATCCAGGTTAAGTACAGAACCATTGAAGTTTCTCAATGTAACACAGTCTAATAGTGCAGCTGCATATAACGAAAAAGTTGCCCAACCAACCTCTGAGTGTCCTCCAGCAGCAAGCGTCTTCTTACATGCCTCGTTTTCGCATCGGAGACACGGTCTGTGCCAGTCCTTACCGATCGACGTTACTCGTTCGGCTGCAACAAATGGATTACACAGATGTAATCTGAATCCTGCCCTCAAGTTAAGATCGAGCGCAAAAAAGCCTGCTCAAGTTGTGGTGATGCCACATTTTTTCGAAGTAAAGCTGGAATATTCATAGCCTCATTTTTGAAAAACTGCAATATTGAACAATAGAAATTGCAAATCTGCCAGCAGCAGTAATTTCTTACCAACCACACCGACTATTTATGAAAAGTTAGGACTACAAATGAAGGATAACGCAAAAGTGGTTTATGAGGATGCCTAACTAATGAAAAGAGGGTCACAACTTGCTGGGAATCTGTGGTTACGTATTTCACTTAGAATGCTTGCTTCTTTCACGTTCTCCAAAAAGAACGAGACAACTGAAGATGGAAGATCTGAAAGTCGCCAGATGTCGCTCCTCTATACCTCCCAGTTGTACTTCCTGACAGTGGCAACACGATATCACTGAAACAGCTCAGCAAATTCTAATAAATGCTATGGGGAGATGCAAAAGAAGTAGAGCGACATTTAGCGGCAACAATCACTCCGACTGGTTTCGTTGACTGCATTAGGATCACACATATTTACCCTTCTGCATAACAAAGACGAAAGGATGAAAATCTGATGTTTACAGCTTTTATCAATAATTTTAATGAATTCCATCCGTTCACTGCTGTACTTTTTCTCTGCCACATTCAATGCTAAGTAAGTTCCGGTTCAAGGCTAATGAGAAAAGCAAAACTCCATTCCTTGTGCAACAGAAGGATTGGCGGTCGAACGTCCCTCAGCAGATGGAGTCAATGATGATAGTGAACTTAGTAATGGAAAAAGGATATCTCGGAACTGAGAATGAGAACCATCCGATGGGTAAGCCGTGCCACATGAGCACCCACCAGCTGCAAAACTTGTTTGAATTGATAAGGAAGTGTGCTTTACTGAAAGCAGGATTTATGGAGATGAGGAATCAAAGTTACTGAAGTTGCAGTCGACATTGCTTTTGGTATCAATTTCCTTTCCTGGTTTCGTTGTTAAATTCGCAGGGAGCAATCTACGAGAAAATTTCGATGATAAGGTGAGCATATGTCTTAACACTAGAACACGTTTGTGAACAGTTATGAACATTCTTTTCCAGAAATACAACATTTTGATTGCACCGTACCCAACGGCACACAATGCTCGATCACAATAGGAAAGCACAACTTTCCACAGAACTGCTACCTCATCACATTGTCAGGAAGTGTTCGTTAATTCCACTACCGCTTGATACGGTGCGTCTTTTAGTCTCAAATAATATGCTGAAACTCACGGCCTCGTTAATATTTTTGGCCTAGGTTGCTAAAACAACTTTTGGATGTGTACGTGTTATAATCAGGGCGCATCTCCACGAAATAATTCAATATTTGTCTTGACACAAAGCTTAAATCGTCCTTGTTCATCATAGCAATACACAGAATAAAGTTAGACCTACCGAAATAGACGGGTTTGTCGCATCGCGGACAGTTCGGCATCTTGTGATGGAGGTAAGCTAAAACTGAAACGAGTAGATGCTGTGTGTGAGAAGAAAAACCACCGTCCGACAACGACAAATGAAAATGAGAACGTGTAGTGAGCGAAAAACGAAATCAGATCTAGAACATCTTGATAAGCAACAACGATAAACGATCGTTTACAGTTGCACAACCGTACTCCCTCCCGACTTCAAACCGCTTTAACTGAGAAACATCACTAAGCCTTCGTAACCACTTTTCGTTTTTGTCTTGGTTTAATTAAGTTTAGTTAAGTTTTATTTAACTTTTAGTTTTTAGTTTTAAGTTTAAGTTTTAAGTTTTAACTTTTTTTAATTAAGTTTTTAATTACTTAAGTTTCTCTTCAAAATTCACGCTAATAAGCAAAAAATCGTTATAACCCTAAGTTTTACATGATCAGGAATAAACAGCTTGCAACTCCATCTACAACACTGTTAGTAAAGCAAACATTAAAGGTTAAATTTTGCTATGCACTAGTGCGCGCGACCAATACCACGATGGAATCTCACAGTTAAACTTCGGCAGGCGCCGAGGCTGATGTCAGTGGTCGTTTCACCCGCGCTGCCAAATAAGTTAAGTTATGAGCTGATTTTAGAAATAAAGACAGGCTTTGTCATCTTTAAGCTCACAAGAACGTTTTGCATTAATTATTTTTCGCTCACATCATTGCTGCATACCATCTCAAAGGTTATTTCCGGCTCGACAATTTTCAACATGACATTTTTCCTGAAACACTGGTACAACGATTCCAGACCAGTTTCTCAAAGGATGAAAATTGGTCGTTCTGCTCCCTCACTTAAAACTTCGACATAAAGCAATGGTGGCAACTCGAAATACCATCAAAGTGTCAGCGATGAAAGCGCTCCCGTACACACAACGCAGATAGCTCGCGAGGTTTCGAGCAGATATGAATCCCCATGACGGAGAACATCGTGGATTCATATCAGAAGTTGCTGACACACCACTTGAACATGACAATCTAACCAGCCTTCTAAAACTGCTTTGGGGGTAGCAGGAAGGCTTGATATTTACGATGTGACAAACGATCGTTATTTGGAAAACACTGGAAAAGTGTTGAAGCTCGATAAATAAATGACGAATGAATAAGTGGTAGTGAGACGAATCTGACAGCAAGTCTATGTTGTCCTTCTTTTACGTAATTAAAATGACCGATTTCTCGATTTCTTTGAGATGTGCGAAAAAATGTGGATCCTGTACGATAATCTCCAACGTTCAATTCAGTGGTCGGTTCGAAAAGAAGCTCCTAAGCATTAAGTAAAGCTTCAAAAGCATTTTTATGAAGAGCCGTCTATGATGAGTTGTCGTCTCTGGCAGAGAAAATAATGTAGTCCAAAATTTAAAATCTTTTCGAAAGTATTACAACAAAGTAGTACAGTCACGCAGTCGGTGAAAGCCTGCAGAGATTACGACGCATTTATACAGACAAGGTGCGTGTAGCGTACTAGCGAGAGGTACACTGAAATACACACGTGGTCATTGGTTCCATCTCGCATTTCGAACAAACCGAGCCACCAATCGATCCGGTGCATTGTAATTGGTATCAGGCTTGTCTGAAAGGACAGCAGCACTGATATGATATGTCGTTTGAGTATCGCAAGTCATTGTGTAGGCTTAATATGCATTCAATCACCTCTACGATGCCTAATGAAATCGAATGCATGGAGTATCCTTCAGGGATTGTCAAAGCTCAACGCTTTTATCTTCGATCCTTCAAGTATCTACCATACAATAACAATAACTTTGAGATCTTTGCGAAACTCGGACCCCAGTCTAGATTCGAACCGTTGAGTCTTTCCGGACGCCCACGTGTTTGACCGCTACACCACGAAGGCTTTAGTTTTTCCTTTCTCTTAGCCAGTTTTCTCCGCTAACTAATCAACACTTTCTCCATGCATGCTGACGAATGCTAGCAGTGGAAATGTTCAGAAACCAAACCGCTTCTAAAAGTACCTCCGAAGAATTCATCGCTTTCAAAATTTCAGAATTTTCTGTTGCCGGAACAAACAAACATTTATCTTGTTGGCAAAAATAAGTAAGGGGTTCGTATTCTAACTGATAAGTTTTCGTTACAGATTCCCTGTAATGATTTGAAAATTCACAGTCCAAGCCGCAGTTATTTTCCCACTGTTCTAATATTAGATACCTTAATGTTTAAAAGTCAAAACCTTCTACTCTGAACGATATTCTTAGCGAAACACAGATTATGGATGAAACAAGCGCCATGGACTGTTAGGAAATTTTACGACATGAATGTAAGAACAAATATGAAAGTAAACTAGTGAGCTTCAACAGTAATGAGGGCTAGAGCAAGTCAGAGATGAGGCCAGAAACTCGTTCTAGAACCCAAACACACACGGACCGACCTTGTCTCATGGTGGGACCATCACCAGTCAAAGTAACTATGTGGCTTTATGACCATAAAACAACCCGGATAAAACCTACAGACATAAAAATGAACAATACGCAGTGGTTTTTAAGGAAGTGTTAACCAAACTGGATGTGTTAGGAACGGAACAAAACCGTTGTTACCAGTATTCCTTTCAAGAAGGTATAAAAATTCACGTTCGTTAAGAGCTGTCATGAAAACGAGAAAATATGAATAGCAATCAAATTGGCGCAGTACGACGTAGGAGTTGTGGTGTCCGTCCCACGATGAGTCAAGCGGCAGGAATAATTGGGACATACTGTAAGGTCATAGAGGGAAAGGGTGACAGATGAAACTTTCCCTTATGCAAAGGGTTTACATTTCGGCTACAGTATTTCTGTTCTTAAGCACAGTTTATTTATGACCTCATTTATTTATTTATGAAAGCCTTTCAAAAAAATGTATCCATTCGCTAAAACATCACATGGAAAATATCTGCCGCAGCAATTAATTGAAATAGACTGTAATATTCCTCCTGTCTTTCATTGTTGCGAAGATCGGATGAACATAACAATTAAACTGAAAGTGGTTTACTACTGATAAGCTGATAGCGCCGAAAACGGTCTGATCGCTTTAGTCATACTCTTCTTCGTATGATGCGCACTGCCGAGAATTTCAACAAGTCCAGGACGGCAAGAGTGGTGCACGATGACGACGACACGAACGAGAACGGAAATGAGATTAGCGCCAATCAGTTGTTTGCATACCATGTGGAATGAGATCGATTCGTACGGATTGGCAGTATTTCGTCGAAGCTGTTTTTCCTGCACAGTTCATCAGACGACAACGCCTCTGAAACGAAAATCGGGCCGCAGAATAAAGATGAGGGAAATATGAAATGGACAAGTACACCCCAGAAGTGGTAGTCCATATAGGGAAAGTTTTAATGCACGGTTTAGTAAGTGCCCTATGAGGGATAGTGAGACGACAGGGGATGCTGGTCCAATAGGTACCGGGAAAATGGGCGGAGTTTCCTTCTCTGTTGCAGTGATATCACCAGTGAAATGAAGTAGCACAAAAACCAAGGGCGGCACGAAATTGATAGAATATTACAAATACTGGACTACACATTCCAGTTATTTCTA